GATTATTATTTCCATTTATTTAAAGATATTATAAATAGATAAATATTAAAAATAATTTATAGTTTTTGTCTTAAGAAAATTACAAATTTTGTTTATAATTTTTGCTGGTCAAAAATGAGAAAATAAATTTCAAATAATGTTTATCATTATGTAAGTCATTTTTTAAGGTAAGGAATTGTGAAATGCCCCATGTGGAGGAGAGTTGTCTATCAAATCACGTGATTGCGGATGTTGAGCCACAGTGGCGGTACAGAGATAAGTGAATGAAACTTTCGTTCATCTTGACCTTCTCCATCTACCAATAGCTGCTTCTGCCTCTCATTTTCCATTTACCAAAATGACTGGAAAAAGAAGGAAAAATTGAAGTTGTCTCATTTTACTACCTGAAATTTCCTGGGCCTGCATTCAAAAATAGAGCCGAAAAACGTTGGACATTCACCAACTTCAAACCAAGCCATGTATCACATACATGACATACGTCCTGCGCGGACAGAACGCGGGTGACTCTAAAAAAACCCTTTCAGTCCCCGATCAAGCGAGTGTATAAACTCATGAGATACTCCAATTGTTTCCGAGGCTAGGACCACGTTTTGTTTTATAAGAGATAAGGAAGCGAAATACGCGCTCAGAGATAAGAGAGCTTTCATAAACATCCGGAATCCACTTGATTGCACGAAGCTCTTTGTCGACCTACCTCCGTGAACTAGACTAGCGGGTATTCAGCTATGGCGAAAACGAGACTTCCCACAATAATCGACAGGCTAGCTGTTGATAATGAACCTGGCCTTTCGACGTCTCAATTGATGCTCGTCAACCATGACTTGAAGCCTGGTATGTCATTATTGTGTTGTATCTCTGAGGCATTCTCAACTCAGACTTGGTACAAAGTTGAACCGGAACGTCGACAATGGAGTGCATGGAACTTTGTTGGATTCTGGATAGCTGATTCGTTTAACATCGTACGTCAAGACCGAGGTACCTCTTGCGTAGTTTAGTTGCTCAATAACAATTTTAGAATACATGGATGATATCTTCATCTATGATTGTCGGAGGATTGTCTTGGTGGCAGTCTTGGATATGGTATGTTTGTCTCGTCAGAGCGACCGCGTCACAAGCGCATTCCTGAAATCACCACAAGTGTCTGGCTCGGGTACTTTATCGCCGGATCATTTATCTGTTCGACTGGGAGAATCGGCGCGGTCTACCATATAGGCTTCCCAGTAGTCGCTCGTTCCTCATTCGGGATCTGGGGGTCACTCTGGCCTATCTTCAATCGCGCGGCAATGGCATGCATTTGGTATGGTGTACAGGCATGGCTAGGAGGTGAGTTTTGTCATAATCTGCGGCGGATGACAGCTAATAAACGTTAGGCACTTGCGTTTATCTAATGATCCGGAGCATTTGGCCCAGCTTTGAGAATTTGCATTCGAGTATGCCTGCTTCTTCTGGAACGAACACTCGCGACTTTGTCAGCTTTTTTATCTTTTGGCTGCTGAGTCTTCCGGCAATCTGGGTGAGTAACTGCTAGTGCAAAGGATGGAAAATAGAAAAGTGACGCTGACATTGCTATTCTAGTTCCCTGTTCACAAGATCAGGCATCTATTCACTGTGAAGGCGTATATTGTGCCTGTTTCTGGGCTCGCTTTCTTTGTATGGAGTCCGACTTTCCGACTATTATCGTCACTGATGTATTCTTAAGATATGGGTAATAGTCAGAGCGAACGGAATCGGCCCAATCGTGCACCAGCCAAACACAATCCACGGAAGTGAGCTAGGTTGGGCGATGGTCAAGGGCACGATGTCCTCTATCGCGAATTTTGCGACTCTCATCGTGTATGGCAGTTTCTTTCAGTAATGAATCTTAATTTTCCTGACTTTATAGCCTTTAGGAATGATCCTGACTTTACGAGGTTTGCGAGGAAGCCGAAGGATGCGCTCTGGTCACAGCTATTTACGATCCCAATCGGATTTGCGTTGACCTCCTTTGTTGGCATCGTCGTCTCGTCGTCTTCCACAGTAATCTACCAGACTACCATCTGGAGTCCGCTTGATCTACTTGGACGTTTCCTTGACGATGGTGGACACGGTGCTCGGGCCGGAGTCTTCTTCATCGCGTTCGCGTTCGCACTTGCACAGCTTGGCACGAACATTGCAGCGAATTCGGTATCGGCGGGCAGTGACATGACGGCGCTTCTTCCGCGCTTTATCAACATTCGACGTGGAGGATTCGTCTGTGCCGCGGTGGGCCTCGCTATGTGTCCATGGAATCTTCTTAGCTCGTCGAATCAATTTACAACGTACCTTAGCAGTTATTCCGTTTTCCTTTCTTCGATTGCTGGGGTGCTGCTTTGCGATTACTACGTAGTGAGGAAAGGGTATCTGAGAGTCGAGGAACTGTACACCGCACGAAGGAAAGGAGCATACTTCTATACATTTGGTATCAACTTGAGAGCGTATGGAGCATATATTGCAGGTATATTGATCAATGTTGTGGGATTTGCTGGAGCGGTTGGAAGACAGGTGCCCATGGGCGCTCAGTATATCTATAAGTACGGCCCCCGTTTCCCTCTACTGTCCAAACACGGAGCTAAGTATGCTACAATGATTTTCGCACAGTGTTAACTTCTTCGCGGGCTTCATCGTCTCGTTCTTCGTTTACTGGCTGCTCAACAAGGTGTTCCCCGTTCCCGCAAGGAGCGATACTTGGAATGAAGTGGGTGATCGTGTAGTCGATCTCTCTCTCGCTCCTGGTCATGATTATGACTGTGATTATGACCATGGTTATAACGGATCACCAAAGGGAGAGAAGGTAGAAGACGAAGAGACAGGATCTATAAGGAGCATTACGAAAAGGGCAGACAAACATGTTGCTGAAGTGCGATGATTGGATGAAAACAAAAGTCGTCCTTTCTTGCGTGCAAGAGGTAGACTTACACTGTTGATATGGAATCATACTGGTTTGGATGCCCATGCACCATCTGATTGATTTTAAGGAACTCGACCGCAGCGGCGCAGCCTCAATAGCAGTGACTCATCATGTGAATGGTGTTGGCGCTTGTGGGAAAATTACATATTGGTAATTTAGAGTTTGCAACTTTGCCAGCCAGCTAGTGCAGTAGCTGCTACATAGTGTTGAACTTACATCCTCCTGCACCTTTTTATCACTGCACATGTTTTGCTAGATTTCCATGGTCTCCTTCATCACGAAAAAGTCTTAAGTATTATACTTGCTTGTAATCTTGTATATTTTATAAATTTTATAAAATTTGTCCAATTACTTATAATCTTCCTGGGGGGTTAAGTAAGGAAAGTACAATGTTAAATAAGCAAGAAAAAATACTTTTAAAACTTGGCAATTTCTGATATAATTTTATAAATTGTCAAGTTATACAAGTGATTATAATATACTTCCTAAATTACAAGGTTAAGACATACTTATTAATTTGTGACAGTGTAATATCTGCTTATAATGCTTACAAGTCATTACAAGTGTTTGAATAGCTTGCTTTTGCTTACTATACAATTTTATATCAAATAATTAATCGAATATAATTATATTTAAATTATAGAATACAAAAATAGTAAATAATACGCCATTTCTACAGTCCCAACCCCTACACCACCAGCTGCCTCTGCCTCATTCTTCTGCGAGTGGGATTTGTGTTGGACAAGGATGACCGCATTCTCAGGCCGTTCGATGTAGTCTTCGTCACCACGTTTTGGTCGTTGCTCGGTCCCTGCAAGTTGAACTGCGAGTGTGTGTGGAATGAGGTTGAGCAGGTTGTGGAG